ATTTGGAGAATCAGATCATAATTCAAAGGTATTTCAAGTATGAAACGCACCTATACACATCGATCTTCGTGGTATAATCAGCTGTGGTACCAGTTGTTGAAAGCAGTTCGGGTGCGATGTAGAGAGCGGTGCCAATGTCTTTGGTCATCGATGAGTTCACATCCGAATCATTCAGGACTGCCAACTTCTTGGAAACCATTTCGCGTGTTGCAAGACCAAAATCCCCAATTTTTGCGTGATCATTTCCATCAATTAGTATATTCATCTAAAATCAACAAATTTTGTGGAAACAATAAAGGAAGACATTTGCATTTTCAGATCCTTATGCCAGAAAAACCACATCAAACGGTAAGAAGCCTCTCATACTTTTGCGGTCGATAACAAGGTTACTGCCGGTGCAATCGTTGTTCCTACTTTTTATGCGTTTTGTGCTGTGTAACAGCAGTACAAAACGCATATTGTCACCGGGTTGTCTGCGTGTGTGTTTCTGTGTGTGTATGTCCGCAGCAACTTGTCCGCAATTTTCAACTCCGGAAACCACAAAAGCTAGGAAGCTGAAAATTTAAGGCAACGTTCCCTACCCACGTGTGACCCCGCAAATTTAAATTCAGCTTCTCCATACCCGCGGGAAACACGTATGGCCCCGTGAAAGTTTTTTACGGGTAAATTAGTGTCTTGGGAACCACGCAGTCTAGGAGAATGAAATTTAACGGTAATGACCCCTTGCCCACGCTCAACCTTGCCCATTCAAATCCAGCGTTCCCGCGTTTTTAAGTACCACCTACGGCCTCGTGAAAATTTTGGCGGGTAAACTATTAACTCGGGAAGCACGGAAAGATATTCATCCTTCAAGGTTTCGAATTCAGCTTTCATACGCTGACGCGTGAAATTTTTAACCGTAAAGTACAAAGTAGTAAAAATCATTAACAGGCAGTCGTTCGATGGGCTGAATTGCACAAAACGCACGATCGCACCGGCTAGACTGGTGCGCGTTGCCACTTATTTATTTAAAGGCCCGCGTACTCCGCCGGAAGAGTTCGGTGGACTCAAAATGTAACTTCCGTATGCAATTTTTTCTAATTCCAAAAGTTACTTTCGCATGCTATAGTATCTCGTCCCCCTAATCACTCATCCTTCTTCTCCTCCCTCGTTCTCTGAAGAAAAAAAGGATACTTGATTGACAAACAATTGTAATCACAGTTTCTCAAAATTTTACGAACTAAACAAGAAAAACCGACCGGCTTGATGTCTCGGTGAATCATGCCTTCTTGATGAATGTATTGCAGCCCAAGCAATATTTCACGAAACAGACGCCATGCTTGTCGGGGATTTCTCAGAAGTTTTGTACTGTCAATTAAGTTTCGTAAAGTCGACTTTTCACAGTACTCCATTTGAATATACAAAATTCTTAGGCCTGATGAGGATGAGGTTTCCACATGAGACTCCGTAGGTGATGTGGAGGCTTCATCGTTACCATCATCTTCATCGTCGTCACAAGATTCATTATCACCTCCATCCTCAAATAGCACTTCCTGCAATTAATATTTTTGTGCGAACAAACAAAACAAATGCTAAACAACTGAATTTCACCCATTACAGAATTTTACAAAAACACTTGTTATCCGTCAGCGACATGCGTTTTGTGCAATTCAGCCCATCGAACGATTGCCTATTAATGATTTTCACTGCTCTGTACTT